TTATCGCGCGCTGTTTTATTTGCGGGGGGGAGGGGGAAGTATATGTATATACGGGCGGCGCGTATGCGCGAGATCGAGTCATTGGACCGAGCATACCTACGGATCACGGATTTACGTGTACACGCACACGCGGCTCGTCGGCAACAAGCCCCGAGGGGGCACCGGAGGACGGGGCAATAATTAGAAAATCGTCCCGCCACCGAATAACCGGACCCTGTCCCTTGTCGAGGCACAGCCCGACACGTCGCTTCCATCCATATACCGGCGCCTGTGGCGCGAAGAAGCGAATTTCCATAGGGTCGGGTAATCTATGAAAATATTCTCTTGCGCGTAATCGTCGTGTTTCGCAGCAAAAATCTGCCGACCGAGAGGAGAGAGAGAGACGGAAGCGAAGAAAAGAGTCGCGGCTGACACGTCGAAACACCGTTTCGCGAGGATTATTCGATTAATTGTCAGCTCGCGCGGTTTTCCGAGCGGAAAAGGCTGAGAGGATTAAGAATTGAGAACAACATTAGCAAAAATATGTTTTGAATTAAAAAGAAAATAAAAAATTGACTGTCACTGTTACATTTACGTTTCGCGCATTGCAAATTTCATTTCAGTGGTTTATTATATTTTAATTGTTTTATACGCGATACGGTGATCATTGAGTCGACGGATGACGCAAGTTTCGTGGTAATTAAGGTCACGCAAGGAACGACAAAGTTGCCGAGCGACTCCGATGACCGATTATGACTCCGAAATATCCCTGGCATGTCGGCCAGCTACTTGTCTATTAGATACCGTGGAATCTGGGAATATTCCAGGAGGTAATCTTCGCGTGAGTGACGCAAGATGTGAAGTAAATCGAGGAAAATATGAAAATCATAATTAAAATCGTTGAGGCACAACGTAAAACAACACGTAACTCTTTATCTTTACGAATTTTTTATTCTCTTGCGTCATAAATAAAATCGCAGACATATATATTGTCGAAGATGATGAAAACTGCACCACTACAGGAATACCGTGCCGAAGTGCAATTGCTGTTTCGTTTCGTCGCAAGTTCGGGGGATCAATGTGGAATGTTGCCGCGCAGAGGCGTCGTCTTTCCGCGCGACTTCCTTTGCGTATGAATTGCGCACAGGTAGGCGGGATAAGGTGTAGGTGGATGAGAGCCGGGTCCGGGTTCCTTCATAATGAGGTTCGGTTTTGATTAGCACGGAGACTGTTTAACGGTTTGATACCTCGCCGGTAATCGAATCCGGACCTAATCTCTCAAGTTATAACCAGATTATTGCCTCCTCCATGCACTTGCTCTCTGCAACGCGCTCTCTCCACGCCCTATTCCGTACAGTCAGCTAGTAACATCAGTCCCCCTCCCCCCCCCTCCCTCACCGTCGCCACCCACGCTCACTTTGCGTCGGTAGGGCTCCAACCCTTTGCTCGCCTTCGTCTCTTTGCTAGTGTCTTATGTCGAAGCCGCGCACTTTCGGCATCCACGTAACAATTCAGTCGTCGGTGAAATCTTTCTTGCATAATTTCGATCGGAATGGCTTCGAGGAAGAAGTTGGGCAGAAAAGGGATGACAGTATAATAGCGTGTCATAATGGGCGGAAAAAAATTGTGAAAGGTACCAATTCGGCATTGATTCGGTTGAGACGGAAGCGAATTGATTCGCGGAAGACACTGGCTGACGGTAAGCGATTGATTGGTCTGACCGACCGGAACCAGCTCGCCCTTTCAAACGATCTCTGGTACGACGCCACTCTTTCATCGCGCTGCGTCTCGCAGCGCACATTCCCAGCCGTCGTTCAATTTATATACGGTTGCCATCTTGGATCGATAGTAGTCGTACAACGTTGCGCCGCGTTATATAGGCGCGCGGTGCATCGCATCGCATCGCATCGCATCGCGCGGCGATGCAGGTAGTCGTGTTAGGTTACAGTTTTAAACGCGGCCAAATTATACGGTTCGCGAGGCATCGCCCGCGCCCGCGCCCGCACGTTTAAAATATTCCGACGTCGGAGATGGCGCGGGAAAGGGCAAAATAAATGTTACGGCATTACGATGGACAGCAAGTGCTCGCTTACGTTATACCGCGGGGTGGCGGGCCCCACTTTGAGACCGCTGCTACTACCCACCACTTCCCTCCCCCGGGGGTCCTCCGCCTCCCCATCCTTCTTCACCGCGTTCCTCCATCTCCTCCTCGTTCGTCGTCGCGTCCTTCTCGCCCTCCTGAAGCCTCTACCGACAGCACCGGTAGCACTATTGACGCGCGTGTGTCTGCGTAAACGTCGTTCGCGTGTTTACAAGCGGTCGCGAGTATATGTATGCGTGTCGGTGAATATGTATACCGGCAGCAACATAGCCCCGAGCACATGAAAGAAGGAAGAAGGAAGGAAAGAAGGAAGGAAAGAAGCAGAAAAGGAGAAAAGAAGAAACCAAAGTGGCAGAGAGAGAGAGAGGGAGGGAGAGAGAAAAAGAGAAAGAGAGAGAGAGGAGAAGAGGGAGGTGGAAAAGGAGGAAAAAATAAGAGAAAAAGTAGCCGACTCGATTGGTGGAAATGAATTCAAAATGGCTGACTCGCGGCTTGGTCCCCGGGTAAAATGGCGTCGCAACATTAATAGCCAGCTATTACACGTAAATATGACGTTTCTATTCGCGATACCGCGTGAGTTGTGGGTCGCAAGTACGCGTGATATTCTCTCATCAAAAGAGGACTCAAAAAAAGAATCAATTTTCTCTCGGCCGATCTTCTCGCTGCTGTGCCGTGAAAAAAACTTGGACAATTTATGTCGAGCGCGCGAGTTTTGCCTCGCGAATTACAGCCATTGCGGCCCTGGCCTATAAAAATAATCCAAGGGATCCCGGTTCTTCGAGGGAAGTCCGCAAAAATTGGTCGATCTGATTACCTGCGCCCCGACGAAGAAACCGATCGACGATTTTTATTTCTCGCGCTGGAACGTAATTCGCGTTCGGGGATCGATCGTGAGTTTATTCGCGGGCCGTACAGGTCGATCGTTGATCGACAACATTTGAAAGAGTGTCCCGAGTTTTGAAAAACAAAGAGAAAGGGCGAGAGCAACCCTCCTCGCCCTCGAGGCACGTTCTTCTCCTTCGCCCTCCTCCCCTTCTCTGCCGCCCCCTCCGCCTTTCCGTCTGTTTCGAACGTCGATTCTCCGCTTCCCTTTCTTTTTTCCTCCACCCGCCCTTTCTCTACGTTTCGCCTCGCCGCAGCACGGATTCTTAATCGGGCCCATTATCTCCGTGCGATCATCATCCCGAAAACTAATTCTTATTTTTTACTACGAAACAGAAAACTCATAAATCAAAGCTCGCGCTCGCTAGGGCCCCGGCGCGGCCCGGATTTTGGCTCCCTTAAAAAAGTTGCGCGTCGAGCGAAGGGCCTCTGTGTGTGCGCGTGTAGACAATGGACGCGCGTCCATTTAAGGGATTCGAATGGACGCAATTTTCTATGGAACTTTGTAATTATGGGTAGTTTGTTGGCGCGGTTTTGGTCGGAGCCGAAAGCTCTACTAGCTCCGAGCCCCTCTTTGTGCCCAGGTTGACCATAAAAATTTTCGAATTAAATTAAAAACAGCGCGCACACACATAACGTAGTCCCAGCACAACTGGCGATAATTCGCCGCGATGACGAGACGCCATTCGGAAATCGCGGAAAAAGTATAGCGCAATACACATCGGTCTATTCATGAACGCCGATAAAACTTTAATCGCCGTCAACGAGCGCGCATTCAATTATTTAGCCCATTACGCTCGCACGAACGTCGTGCCGTTTTTACGCACATACGCAGTTGCGACACTTATTCGAGAATATCGTCTGCAAATTAGCGGACATTAATACGCACGAAAATGGTTAATGGCAGGCATCCGATACTTCGTACTACATGCATCGATGTAGCGCCGTTCCATTCATTTTATCATCGGACACGTTATCATCGAACAATTATAATCGAACTCAAAAAATTCACATGATTATTTCCGATACGCTACGTCGGATTAAAAAAAGTCGGGCAAATGTAAATAAAAAATATGCAATATTTAATTCTAGATTTTCAAACTGCTCGGATTTATCGAATTCCACGACTTTGGCAGTGTAAATTTTGCGATCGAGATATCATGAAATAACGTTTGCACGTCGAGCGTGCGCGTGAAAGTGTCATTCCACCGGCGACACTGTGTTTCATTATCCCGGAAGTAGCCGGTAACCGATAGTAACCCGCGGCCTAATTATAGCCCTCGCCGACTTTGTGTCGGTCGTAACTGAAATAAATGTAATTAGCGGAGAAAAGAGAGTGGGAGACCGCGTCGGAGGAGAGAGGAAGAAGTGAAGGAGCCTTTAAAGGAACGCTCAACTTCTTATTTTCCTTCCTTATTCTTTGACACTCTGAGCGCAATGGCGCGTTGCGTTCGTCGACCCGCGGAGCGAAAAGTGGATAACGACGTTATCTAACTCGCGAAGCTCCGGTGGATTTCGGATCCGAAATTGGATGCACAACAGCGTTTACGAAATTGTGCCGCAAAATGAAAGATACATTATCGTTATGTATTTATACATTTATACGTTGTTCGTAAACTTTTCGACGAGAGCGCCAATCAATCCTGAGAGGCATTCTTGCACGACCGACCATCGAGATTTATATCTTGTAATGAGAAATCATTAGCCGCGAGGTGTATTAGATAATCTTGGTAATTGCCAAAAATTGGTCGGTTGTTTCCGAGTCGCGAGCGAACGCCCGCTGATTGTACGAGAGCCTTTCGGTACCTGCCGGTCCGGATTTAGGTGGGCACCATAGCCCGGGGCCCGCCGATTTTCGACGTTTTATCCTGACGGGCCCGAGAGAAAAAAAAAGAAAAGAAGTGGAAGCGATTCCGAATTAAACGAAATTGGAATACGTACCGCGAAACCTAATTCACGATCGAGTAGACGTAAGCCATCGGGATCGCTTCGTTGGTGTGTGCTTCATTAGGACGATCATCCCGAAATTCGTCTGCAAAAAAAAACAAAAAAAATCTATAACGATCGTTTGAAATAGAATTTAATAAAATTACAACGTTTAATGGGATTCCAGCTTTAATATATAATGCACGAACATTTGTTCGGAAAGATTCTGATTCCGGAGAGATGATAAATGGCGATGCGAGAGCGCTGAGAATTTATTCGATTACTCGACACGTCTGCACGCCGCGGAATGATCAAACAATGGGATCGCGGAGAGCGGACAGATATTAAAAAAGAAGCGGAAGAAAGAGAGAAAGAGAGAGAGAGAGAAAGAGAGAGGAAGAAGAGACGAATAAGAGACGAGCCCTCCTAGCAACATATGTATCCACTTTCGTTTCACGGGGCGAAGCACGGCGTCAGAATCAATCACGTTGGATGACGTCCCGGTAGCGACGTTGAGAAACGCATAACGCATTTTATCGATATAAAAAAACTAAAAGGGGAAATCCCGAGCTTTGTTCGAGCGAGCTGCTGTTTTCCTGCATGAGAAAACTTTTGACATTTTTTTTCTTTTTTCTCTATTTTGTTTTTTTTTTTCTTAAATGCACGACGAGCATACATTGGCGATATTAAATCGCAACTTTCGACGTCATCCTGGCAGAAATGAAGGTGCGCCGTAATTCATTAGAAGGGTCGGAGTGGCGTCCTTTTGCGAAAATCGTGAAGATTAAAAGGACGGCAAGTGGAAGGGGGAAGGGAAGAAGGAAATGAAGGTCCACAATTGGATGGGACCACTCAAATTGGGAGAACGCGATCGAAAGGCAGCGGCAGCGTCCGAAATTAAAGCCGCGTCCGATAATATCGCCGCGGCAGAATCTGCATATCATACTAGGCGTTCCCAATCAAGTAATTAACAAAAAACCGCGGAGAACGTGCCATTAATCATCCACTCGGAGCTGCTACTCGGAAACGGGCGCGTACCGAGGTATCAGATTAGCTAACCCTTTCGAATCTGTAGCGCGGTCGCCAAAGAGACGGCGAGAACCCTCGCGGTGCCACTAATTTCCGAGTGACCCTTTGCGCCCGCGCTCGTTTACCCTGTCCGCCCCGTGATATTATCCGCGGTATGCGCAAATTGCCGTGTGTTCGTGTCATCGTGAGTCATCGCATCGCGAGGCTCGCGAAAACTCGCTCGCGAGTGTGTATCCGGAAGTTTCGGAACTTCGGGAAGCGGCGAGCGAGCTAGCGAGCGCGAAGCGGGCTTCATATATGCGCACACATGATGCGGAATAAAAACAAAGTATCTTCTGTGTCGTCGCAGCCGCATGTGCCGGAATAAATCCGCAGACTTTCGAGGATGTCTGCTGCATGCCGGTGCATAAGTTCCGCGCAAATTGGACACCGCGCGTCGCGACACAGAACAGCGCTCGTCACGCGGCCTTCTCCCATCCCTGTTTTTGCCTTTCGCCTTTCTCGCCCGACTCCGGTCTTCTTCAATTTCGCCTTCCCGCCTTATATACCGTCGTTCGCCCTCCGCTTCTCCCCTGATCGCGCCCCTCGACTGCTGTCGGAAAGTCGATGTTTTCCTCTCTCCGTCCACACACGAGCATTCGGAGATCATTGCGCGCTGCAACGTCCAATTATTCCAATGCAAGCCGAGTTCAAAGAGGTTAATTCCGGGGCTAATGTATTCACCCCTTTTTACTTGAACCCACGCGGATTTCGTATGTATTGCCAATTTTGCATTTATACCCCCCGCGCGCCCGCGTCCATGAATAAATTCATCCCTCCGTTTCGCTTTCGATCGCGCCTTTCCCGCCGCGCCCGCTTTCTTTTACTCTCGCCGCGTCCGCACTTCTCCGCCGCGCTCTCCTAATTTTATTACTCGCAGATTTATGCGCGACGACAAACGCCAGCGTTTCCAATCTCCCGACGAAAATCCCGTCATATTCGCGTCCCGTCTCTCGCACTCGAGGCGATCTCGATAAAGGTGGACGCGACGCAAGAGCCTCGCTTTTGCGACTATCGACGCATGTATGCGACCATCGGATGACTCGATACATGAATTCTTAGTGTTTATCATCACTCGTTGTTAATTGCACTTCAGATTTCCAGAGAAAGAGAGAGAAAGAGAGAGCGCGTTATAAAATGGAAGAAGACAATGCAAGGTGCGGTCGAGTGCGACGAGGAGGACGAAAGCATATCAATCAGAGCGATGTCTTATCCACGCAACCCACCAATACACATGAAAACACCCCGCCGAATGCTCCCGCGCGCTCTCCGCAAGGACTCTCACGCTCCTTGTCAACCGATCCTCCCTCCCCCTTTCACGATCGACTCGGATACATAGCCTGGAGGATAGAGGTGCGTGCCATTTATCATCGGCGGGGAAAAAGTGCGCGTCATCGCCCGTACCAAAACCCGGATGACTTCGTGAGACGCCTGTCAACAGTATCGCCCCTTTCCGAGCGGCGAGAAAGCAGCCGCACCGATTTCGCGACGAAATGGGACAAGCACACCCTTCTTTTCGGATACTTCGCCCTCCCCGCCTCTTGTTTTGCTTGGAATCAACGGTGACAACGATAACAGAATGTCTCTGTTGCAAAAACTTTTATTTTGCAACGTAAGAAAATATATATCGTATAACGGGGATATCGTAAAAGCGCGCACGCGCGTGCGCGTGTGTACACGTTTAAGTTATATGTGGAATAAAAGTCATATCGTATTATTTTATCGCGAATACTCGATAAAACTGCGCAGCAGCGCAGATGAGAAATCGCAGAAAGTTCAGTGCACTTTCATAGCGCGACGACGACGATCCACTTTCGTGGACAAATAATTTAAGATCTATTATGGTATAAGAAAGAAGCTCGCCTCGATATCGGTTGGCAGATATCAACCTGTCGAAACTCCACCGCGGAAACTTAGTCAATCTGCTGCTCCCGACCCATCCTTATTCCGCCCCAATCGACCCTTAAAGCTTCGGCAACGAGCGCCCCGCCGCGGGTAATAGTCGGTAGGGCGTCCTCCCGGAGGTAGCAGATCGTATTTCGAAAACTCCTTCCTCGCCGAGGAGGCAAGAACTCGAGAAACAAAGAGGACCGGAGCGAGAGGGTCGCCCGGGCGAAAGACAGGGAGGCGTTCGAGTTCGCTCAGAAAGTGTCAAAAGCTCCGTGAGCAATGGAAGCGAACGCTGAAAGAGAGGAACCCAACGAGACCGATGACCTGGAAAACTTAATTCTGCGGTACTTCAAGGAGAGATAATCCCTTACAAAACAACATCCCTTCAACATAATAAATAATTCGAGTGTAACGAGAAGAATCTAAACACGCATTTCAAATTACGAGCTTGGATAATAATAAATATATCCGATGTATCTCGCAGGAACATTGTATATATTTAGCTTATCTGTAATTTCTAATATTTTTTTTGAAATGTTAATTGATCGAGTTTTCCAGATACCAATTAAGATAATTTTGCCTGGAGATCGAAGTTCCGTGCATCAGGGAACGCGCGGCGAAAGTTGTAGCGACGTAGTTGGGGCATCGCGGCGCCCCGGGCAGCGAGAAGACGCATACTTGTGTGCAGATCCGAGTACCACGGCATAGTTTATCCGAGACGCATTTTTCGCGCCCCTAACCCCGGTGGCACTTGACCCCGAGGGGTCGACGGACGGACGCGGGAAGCGGCGGGCGGCGCAGGAGATGCGGGTCGGATCACTACGAAAGGACTAGGGATGCCTTCCGGGACTCAAAGACATTCTCGTCTTGGGGACCGCGAAGTTTCAGCCATCCTCGACGACGGTGGCGGAATCTCTGACCGCACGATATCCCGGGGGCGCGTTCGCTCGCCTTAAACATCTCTCGCGTATTGTCGAAGGCTCTCTCGTCACCGCCGCTGCCAGATTCGAGAATATGCCCCGCGGCCGCGTTGACACCGAGGAAAATATTTTATTAGCGGCTTAATGGATCGGAAAAAAGGTAACGGGAGAAAAAATCATCGGCGGGCCGCGCCGCGCCGCGTCGAACTGACCGGAACACGAGACATGAGGCGCGGAACTTTCAGCCCGCGTGCAATAATTGATTTGCATAATTATGTATGTGCATAATTATGCACATTATGAATTTAAAGCGTCCCGCGCGGTGGTACATCGTATCTGATACGCTTTGGCGGTAATAGTAATAAGTTTGTACCAGACTTGCCGCCGAGCCGAGCCGCGCCGAGCCACCGCTGCCTGCCGTCCATGACGCTCTCTCACTGTGCACCGCGGCGTTTATCGATCGTATAACGCATTTACGGCGTATCGAAATATAATACCGCGCTCATCGGCAACTCGAAACATTTAGCGGAGCCCGAGTAACTCCGAGAGCTTTCAGTCCGAGAGCAGCCGCCGCTACACCAACGGCTTCGACCGGCTATATGTTATATGCGTATGTAAGGTTGCGCGATGCATTAAACGATGCATGCTTCCCACTATCGAGCCCACTATTTACGGACGCCGTTCGCCGGGCGGATAGCGAACGCGTGAGGCGTCTTGGTTGTCTGGACGCGATATCCACCTTTATATTTGCCGATCAAACGATCATCGACTTTTAAGCGTAATTACGACGCGATTAGCCGACCGCCGGACACGCGCGTACGCCCGATCAAAATTACCTTTTCAATTATCGGGAGGTAACGAGACATGAGCAGTCGGCACACACATCTTTAATTCCACGAATGAAACTCGAAATGTGCAACAATAATCGTGTATTATATTTTTCTCTGTTAAAAATTTATTTAATAAAAAATATTGAGTATATTTTGAATTATTGATTATCTAGCAAAGGATGTAAAAATATCTACTTTTTTCCGTGCAGTGTGTAGTTTTTTTTTTTTTTTTGCGTCATAGTGAAATAGCGTTACAGGATTAAAAGACCAAAAGCGAAATACGCGGAGAAGCGAGCGATAGATTCGGCGAAATGGAAACCGAGAGAGGCACGGTGGATAACTCATTGAAGAAAGGAAGAGAGCGACGAAGGAAAGGAGAGCAACGGGGGGAAAGAGGG